CCCGAGCGTGTCCCACCACCCGGGGAGCGATGGCTGTGCAGGACCCCCGGCCAGCCCGCCTGCAACTCAAAATCCCAGAAAATTCAAAAAAAAGAAACCCAAAAAACCGAAAATAAACTACTTTCCATCTTCTCGCAGACCTGACAGATTTTCCTCCCTCATTCCCAGCTTCTTCATTTTTCTGGTTTTGCTTAAATTCGGAGAGCTGCGGGATTCGCCTTCCCACGGGCGCTGGGGGTAAATCCTGCCGGTGGTCTGGCTGCCCCTGCTCCCATCCCTCCGGAGCAGGACGGTGAGGAAGGGGATTTGTGTTTTGGGGTACTCGAACCTTCAGCATCCCCCACCAGCCCTGGGCCCCTCCAGGCTGGGGCTGCCGCGGCGGCAGCACCCACAACAGCACAGGCACAGTCAGGAGGGACCGAAAGGAGGCACTGTCCGAAATTCACGGAACAGTCAGCTTCTAATTCTGTCCAAAACAAGGGAATTTTCTTGAATTCCCATTAAACATCACAAGAAAGTTTATATTAAATTTATCAGCTGTCAACCCGACTTCATCTTCTTCCCAAGGGTCGTCATTCCCAACTCGATCCCTCCTTCGGAAACGCGCCCTCGCTGGGAACAGAACCAGGCTTGGGTCTCACTTTGCTTCGGGTTTTTCTTGCTGCAGGAAAATGTTTGCTCGCCCACCCTGCCGAGGCAGATGAGAAGAAAGCCGACCCCTGCCACCACCCCAAGCAGCGACAGCGGAGAAAACCCCGAGTTTTGTTCTCCCAAGCTCAGGTGTTTGAACTGGAGCGGCGATTTAAGCAACAGAAATACCTCTCCACTCCGGAAAGGGAGCACCTCGCCAGCGTGCTCAAGCTCACCTCCACGCAGGTGAAAATCTGGTTCCAAAACCGGAGGTACAAGTGCAAGAGGCAAAGGCAGGATAAATCCCTGGAGCTGGCTGCCCACCCGCTGCCCCCTCGGAGGGTGGCAGTGCCCGTGCTGGTCAGGGACGGCAAACCCTGCCTCGGGGGCTCGCAGCCTTACCCAACGCCGTACGGCATCGCCGCCAGCCCTTACTCCTACAGCTCCTACTACAGTGCCTATAGCAGCAGCCCGTACGGGGCTAGC